CACGCATATGGGTGGGCGGACTCGGCCCGTGGACCTCGTTGTCACATTTGGGCAAAGAGTTTGACCGCTTCGGCGCCATCCGTAAGATCGACTTCGTTAAGGGCGATAATCACGCGTACATACAGTATGACAGCATCGACGCAGCGCAGGCCGCCTGTGCAGACATGAGGGGCTTTCCACTCGGCGGTAACGATAAGCGTTTGCGCATTGATTACGCCGATCCGGGCCCGTACTCCTTCATGTCGCCCACACATCCCGGCTCAGCCCCACCGCCCGTTGGCGGCAGTGGTAGTGCCGCAGGGGATCCGTATCCCCCGTCGACCAGTGGTCGCAGTGTAGGCGCTCGAGACGATGCGCCCGACGATTGGCCCAATAATCACGGCTCGAAGTTTGGCCCTAATTCTGGCGAATTCAACGACTCGTTTGAAAGGAATTCGTCACAAAACCGGAGCCGAGAGTTCAACGACGACCCGCCGAAGAGGGACCGGGACTTAGTGGCCGGCAATAGCGGTAATTACGAGCAGTGGTGGGGCGACGGAGCGTCGGGCGGGCCGTATTCACCCAACTCTCAGCCCCCGCGTCGACGTCGAGGTACGCCCGACGCCGGAGAACCCGGACATAAACGGTTGCGACGTAACAGCGGTTCGCCGACTCCGGGCGACGACCGGTCGCCACATCGGCCGCACTCTATTGGACGCAATTCTCCCGCATATGAGACAAACGGCAAAGACAATGACGGCCTCAAAGTGACCATCAGTGAGACGGTGTCGACGATCGGCGAGTTAGCCAAGTGTTGTCCGCCCGCGTGGAGCGGCGGCCTTATGCTGAAGAGTAGTTCATTCCCGTCACGAATGCTGTTTNGGCAAAGACAATGACGGCCTCAAAGTGACCATCAGTGAGACGGTGTCGACGATCGGCGAGTTAGCCAAGTGTTGTCCGCCCGCGTGGAGCGGCGGCCTTATGCTGAAGAGTAGTTCATTCCCGTCACGAATGCTGTTCTGTTCGGGAGATTCACAGCTCGTGGATGTGCTCATGAAGGAGAAGACACTCCGTATTACACAACGTCTGAGACTCGAAAAGGGAAAGTTAGATGACGTGACCAGACGTATGTCAGTGTCGGGTTCGGGCGGTTATTGCCTACTCCTCACCACTACTGGTCCGCCGCAGAGCCAGACCCCCAACCAGACGGCCGACGACGGGAGTGCTGTTCAGTTAAGACCGTTGAAGAATTTGGTGACATATTTGAAACAGAAGGACGCGGCGGGAGTTATAACGTTGACCAGTGCTAAGGACAGTGACGGCACCGCCGGTGGCAAAGACATGGATGTGAAGGGTGTGCTCTATCTGTTCCCGCCGTGTGTCTACGCTATTGAGCTTTTGCATAGAGTTGCGCCCAATCTGTGCGCCGACACATCGGCCGCCAAAGACGACTATTTGGTTGTGGTTGTGGTGCGCGGACCCAATTGAACAGCACGTGACACGTTATGCCCACAAAACACCACTTAATCTTACAATTAATTGTGTTTTAATTAATGTTTCATTTAGTGTTCAGTTTTTTTGATTATATTTAGTGTCGTTTAGTGTCGGCTCTCATATATTGAATGCTTATTTGGTTTTTTCCGTGAATTTGATTTTTATATTGATTTTGTTTTTTTAATTTCTATTATTTTGACTTCACTTTAATTATTATTATTTTTATTATATAATTGTTTGGCTATTAATTCGCATAATTATAAAATATAATTACAATTAATGTTATTTAATATCTGTATTGAAAGACATTGCGAGACAATTAGTGTGTGTTTTGTGCGGACATTGAACTCAACGACAGGTGTTTTGTGGTGAAGAAGAAGTGGAGTTATTGTGTCAACCGATTCACCACTCCTTCAGTGTTTGTTCCGACTCTTGAGTTATCGTTTGCAACAAAATCCCATATTTTTCAACCATTTATTGATATTCTGTGAAAACAAATCCAATTATTAACTCATCTGTAGTTTTGTCTCAAAACCTCTATTTGTGTCACATTTTTAGTGATTATTATAATTACTATTAGTTTTAATGGGATTTTTGTGTGCAAAACAAATCACATTTATTTCTATTATTTTGTCTACAAATTAATCAATTAATTAATTCTTGAATACAATTATGTCTTCTATTGATTGAAAGGATAGGCAATGAAAGTGTGGACCAAATGTGTGGTCATTATAGGTGTCTATATCTCTATATGAGACACACACCCGACCTATCAGTGCGTTTCTCATCCATATATTTGTGTATTAAATAAAACGAAATTATTGTTCAATGAATTTGAGTGAAAATATGATCAGTTTATTGAGTGCTCCCATAGTTTAGAGGCATTACATGTTTTGATTGCAATTTGTTATCAAAATGTCTCTAAATATATGTAATTATTATTAAAATTGAAAGTCTTTTGGCAAACAAGCCATCAGTTGATTGTGATCTCCATTTCCATGTGTTTTATGAGCCGATAATAGCATTCAATTATTGATTGTATTGTGAATTCAATTTGAAACACAATTTAGTTGACATCAGAATTATATTGTATTATAAGTTATTGCAAATTGAATGCATTCAAAAGTGATAGGGTTGTGGGATGTATGTGATTATGATAAATATATTGCTGGGAACCCCCCTCTGGGTCTATGGGTGTCACTGGTTTTTGGCATTTATTATCGTATCTTATTTTTAATGAAAAATGTGTTTGTATTGAAATTTAGAGATAGTTTATCGATACGTGAGTTTCTGTGTGTGGTTTTTGTGAATATATTATATATCAATTGAACAGTAAGTGCTGTAAAATGTTTATATTTCAAAATTGTTATAATTGTGTTATAAATTGCTAACAAAATTGATGGCTCGCATCGGCTATAGTGAGAGATGACAGTCACTGGTGTTATAAATGGCATATAATCGGTGATGTAGTAGTGTTTGTGGTGCACACATGTGCACGTGTTGGTGGTGGTGATGGTAATGATGGTGGTTATTGTGGTCACTAATTTATATCACACTTCGTTAGGCCCTATAGTTTGTATCGACGCCAATGTATGTGAAAAGTCAGTGCTCGAGACCTGTGATAACTATCGGTCTACACATGTATTGTCTATATTGTATAGTTTGTATCAATTGATAAAAACAGTGTTTGTTTGTCAATCACTCTCGTCGGCGGAGCTATTGCTCTCTGTTGTGGTGACCTCTGGCCGGCCGCTGACGGGCGACACTTGTCGGGCCGTTTGCATGGAGTCGAGCGACCGTTTGAGTATCGTATTGAATACGGACTCCAATTGATTGACTTTATCGCATATTTCAGAGCACTGGTCGCCCGACTCTTTGCACCACTCGTTGCAACTTTGATCCAAGTCTTTGCAAAACTTGTAATCGCATCGACACTCGACACACAGTTCGCCAACTTTTAGGAAATCCCTTCTGGCCATCAGTGCTGCCGCTCTCCTCTTGTAGTCGACTATTTTGTGGTGATTTTCGGTAAACATCGCCAAACAATCTTCGATTCGTCGCTCTGTCCGCAGCCATTGCTGGCCGAAAGTGTCGTTTAATAGGCGAATGGCCTCTATTTCGGCCACAAATCCGTCCAAATGTGACTTAATGTCCAACTCGTAGTGTATGTGACGTACGATTCGGCGATAAGTGTCCAAATGGTCGGCCAATCGGTCGATGCGTTTGATAGCAATGACCGAATTTTCGCGAATATTTCGGTGAATGATCACAATATTGGACAAAATATATTTGGTTTTTCGCATTATTTCGTTCATATTGTAGATGTCCTCCAAAGCGAAGTCCGCCCTCTGTTTGATGGCTGTGATGGCGATCAACACACGAGGTAAGTCCCGGTTGGCAGCGGCCGCCGTCCAACTGCCCGTCCCGTCGCTGTCCCACAGACCGGTGTTTGCCATACGACACATCACTTATTGAAAAATTTAACAAATCTATTGTTCACTTAAAACAGGGTATCTATTGCTAGTCTTTAAGACACGAAACCATTTTTATTTGATTATATTTGAGAATATTCTCGTAATTTCAGTCATATAACTATAAGATATGTACAGAATATGCGCTACAAATGATTTGCCAAACAAAATACAGTGATATTATATTTTTAGATCACTTCTTGCATCCAATCTCTCTCTCTCTCTCTCTCTAATTAAATTATATAATACAATCAAACTAACTCTAACCCTAATTATGTAACCAATATATGTGTACTAAAACTTTGATTATAATTAGACAAAAAATAAATCTCTACTCTGAAATTACTATTATTTTAGTCATTATTATCTCATTTCGGGGCTCTCTCTCTCTCTCTCTCTCTCTCATTCGCACTATAATTAGTGCTGAGCCAACCATCCCATCCCACATCATATACAGACACCATTTTCTTCACATCCCAATGACTTACCAGAAATCTAGTTAATAAAATGGTCACAACTTTAGACCTGAATATCAATTATTTTATTAATACATTTGAATATTGATTGGTTTTTAGGATATTTTTATTTTTTGTCTAATTATAATCAAAGTTTTAGTACACATATATTGGTTACATAATTAGGGTTAGAGTTAGTTTTATTGTATTATATAATTTAATTAGAGAGAGAGAGAGAGAGAGAGAGTCCCGAAATGAGATAATAATGACTAAAATAATAGTAATTTAAGAGTAGAGGATTTGAAGGCAAAGGCATTGTTTAAATTGTTTATGAATAGCATTCAATCCTGAATGGACTGCCGGGTATGTTGTCGTCGCCCCACTTGACTACCATTAGGTACTCTCCCTTCTCGCGGCATTGGTAGGTAACGTTATACTGGTTGCGACCTTGGTGCTTTACATTCACCTCATCACTCGGACCCTTCGGCCCGTATAGCGCCACAAACAACAGGTTATTCCCTATGAATGAATAGTTATTCGTATAGTAATAGATAGGAAAGACTCGATGGCCAACACCCGTACGTACCGGCGCTGACACAGTTGACAGTGAAGTTGTTCTGCCGATTGAGGACAGCTTTCTTAAGTCCGAGTCCTTTGGCCTCCACTTTGGACGCGTCTGACCTGAATCGGGGTAATTGGGAGCTCTGTTTAGACTGTTTGGTCACAGTCTCGACCACAACCGACGACGACTCGATGTCGGCGATGTCTGCGATGCTTCGGGTGCCTAAAGCGATGGTCACCGAGAGATTAGATGACCTATTGATGCACTGGTCGCTAAACTTACCAATGCAACGGACTTTAAATGGACTGCCGACCACGTGATAGCCGTTAAATTTAATGGTCACGTAATACTCTCCCTGAGCCAAAGGAGTGTACCGTACTTTATACCCCTCCTCCACTTCCGTGCAATCCATGGACACCTTTGACGGGCCATCGATAGTGACGGCCAAACTGCCGGCGCCCGCAGAGCACGTGTCGATAATGAAGTCAGTTTTGACGCCAGTTCGGGCCTCTTTGAGGCCATTGCCGTACACCTGCACGGCTTCGGGCGCCGCGTCGTCTTTGCCGATACGCAACGAAAAGGGCGACTCAGGTATATGAACGCCATTGAACCGCACGTGAATCCGATGGATGCCGTTCTCGCGCGGCATAAACCTCAGCGACCACTGGTCCTCATCGATGTTGGATAGGAAACAGTCGTCTTCGGCGCCCGCAGGCGATACCACTTTGCCGTCCAACTGGCCTTTGGCGCCGTTGAGGCTGACAGTGAAAGTGACCGGTTTGTTGACTTGTAGGAAGTGTTCGGGCGGAATGGCGCCCAACTCAACACGTCTGGCCTCTGAGGCCGCGGCCACCATATAGACCTTGTAGGGCGAGTCCGGGATGTGCTGGTCATTGAACTTAATGCCGATGCGATACTCTCCGGCCTCCGACACCTTATACGACACATAACACGAGCCGTCTTTGCGGTCCTTGAAGTCGATGTCCGCTTTGGACGGGCCCTCAACCGAAATGGACAGATTACCGGCGCCCGCCTCTCGCGTCCATACGTTAAACTCGGCTAACGGTATACAAGTCTCGTATTGAGTAAGTATTGTACAATAATAGGTGATTTAATACCCGGTTGATTGGCGGTACCCCTTTCGAGACCGGGACCCCCGGCGTGCACCCGATGGGAGCCGTAATCATTGAGAGGTCCAACCGTGAACTGGAAGGGCGATCCCGGTATGTGTATGTCTTTACAGCGGACACTAACCGTATGGACGCCCACCTCTTTGGGCACAAAGTGGACGGCATAGAGACAGTCGTCCATATCTAGTATCTCCGCGTCCTCTGTCTCACCGCTCGGGGAACCGACTTTGGCCGCCATATCGAAAGCACTCGTCCCCGGGATCTTGAATGCTGGCCAACCAAACAATTATTATCATTACTATTATATGTATTGAATTAAATTGATTTTTAGATTGTATTGATCGCTATTGTCTCGGGTAAGTATCACTCAACCGATCCAAATGACCATTGATTGTACAAACTTTCATTATAAACATTACAATAAACTATTTGATTGAAAACAACTGTCTCTTCACTCACTGAGTTTGCATTCGGAGCCGACATCAGTGACAGGCATAGCGTCCCTCTCTTTCTTGATATTCTCGCGCTGAATGTTTGATCCCTCGCCCGACACCTTCACTGTGAATGGACTGCCGGACACGTGATGGTCGGCGAACTTGAGATTAATGATGTAGAAGCCGGGCTCAGTGGGCTTGTATGTGACCCGGAGTGTGCCGTCTTCGTTGTCCGCACACTGGATGTCCGCTTTGGACGGCCCCTCAATGGAGAGCGAGAGTCCGCCATAGCCGGCCTCCTTGGTGTCGATGAGCAGGTCGTTAGGCGTGTGAGTTCGGGCCTCTCTCACACCCCCACCCGTGACCCGCACTTTGGACGCGTCGCCGATCTCGCGCTCGAGTACATTGATCTTGAAGGGCGAACCCGTGATATGAGCGCCCAGTTTCTTGACGTTGACGGCGTGTTCGCCGATCTCGCGGGGCGTAAATGAGATGCCGAGGTGTCCATTGGCCAACTTCTTGAGAAAACACGGCTCTTCCAGACCGGACGGCGCGACGATCGACGCGTTCAATATCTTAAAGTCCTTTTCCTGCACTTTGAGCGACACTTCGCTGGAGTGGCCGACAGACAATTGGTTGCGTTTGCGGCCCTCACCGGTCACTTTGGCCGAGTAGGGCGAACCGCGGATCGCTTTGTCGCTGAACTTGATGTTGATCTTGTACTCTCCCGGAGCCGGCGGTACGTATGTCACCGAAATAGTACCGTCTTTGTTGTCCTTACACTGGATGTCGGCTTTGGACGGGCCCTCTAACGCCACCTGAAGATTGCCAGCGCCGGCGCCCTTTGTATATACTGTGAACACACAGGCATCGCCCGCAACCCCGTGTGTCAGTCCACTGATGGCCGTTCACCACAAGATCGTTGATTAGGTGTTAATCACACGTGATTTATAATAGAAAATGTATTAATATTTTTGTGGCTTTAAAACAAAAAATTGTGATTTTATATAAATAGATGTATAGTTTAGTTGAATGTTTGCCAAAACCTAACGTATAATACGATAATTATTTTTATATTAAATAGCATTCAGTCAAATAGTGTCTCCGTATTGTATAAAGAATTTTAATCTTAAGGCATTTCAATAGAGTATGCGTTTAATTGCTGTCAAAACATATGGCTTTCAACAATGTTTAAATCCATTTAGAAACAAATATACAAACTTTTAAATCTATTAATCCCAATGAATTGAACGATAAAAATGAAATAACTTACTATATCAATTAATTTTTATATTGAAATACAGTTTTTTAATATTAATTGGAGATAGTGTTAGGTTTATATAATGAGCAAAATGTTTGACTCATTTTGAATTTTAATTCAATTGCAGCAAAAACTAATTTAAAGCATTGGAAAAACATTAAATCTATTTGTAAAATACAATTTAATCGAAAATAACTTTACGAAAATTCCTAAAGAAAATTTATATAAAATTACCACTAATTTATAACATTGTAATAATGAATATAAGTAATTTGCACACAAATTATACAAAATGTATGCAACATTTAATGTTTATTTTACGGGTGTTTTAATTGTATAAAACTTTCCGCTCAATACTAAACACAAATGACTTTTAAAGAGATTTATGTGTTTATCAGTTGAATAGATGTTCATTTTGTATATTTCAATAACACTTTTACTATCGTGTTATAAATTTAACACTGAATTTAGAAACGAGAGAGAGAGAGAGAGAGAGAGAGAGAGAGAGAGA